CAAATACATTAACATTGTCATGTACATTACCATGCCAATCCCTCCAAGAGTTGTCATGTCAGGAATACATTTTAAATGCAATTGCATTAAAGATAATTTATATATTTTTTATATTATTTTCTATCAAATATAAATTTGTATATATAAATTATTTTTAAGTTAATGCAATAACTTTGGTAGGCTTAAAAATATCCATCCATCCATTTTCCACCGGGACCGGGTCTTGGTGACAGTAGGCTGAGTAAGGACACATATATGTCCTTTTCCCTGGCCATGTACACCAGTTCATCCTGAGGAATCCCAAGGTGTTCCCAGGCCAGCTGAGAGATATAATCACTCCAGCATATCCTGGGTCTGCCCTGGGGTCTCCCCCAAGTTGGACATGCCTGGAACACCTCCACCGGCAAATGTACATGAGGCATCCTAAACAGATGACCGAACCACCGCAAATAGAATTTAAATAGATTTAGTTAAATCCTTTTATAAGCACCCCTTTATAGGCCTCTGGGGTTTAAAAGGCCTTGGAAAAAGTTATGTTGCAAATGAAATTATCCCCTGGTTCTTTAATAATGGACTCCACAAGTTTGTGCAACACCTAATGTTATCCAGCATAATCATTACTGTAATTGCAAGGCCAAAATTTAAATCAGGAATGATCTAATCACAAGAACAATTACTGATAGTTATCTTACCGCTGCTTCCTTCATGTTGGACTCCCAGCAGCTCATCAAAGCAGTGTAAGATACTACTTTGAGCAGCACTGCCTCCTGAAAACTCCATTGGCTTCTCCTGAACTCCATCATAGACGAGACCTTCTGGCATTGATGGGTTATCTTTCCATCTAACACCCACATGCAGAAGAACATTTTTATAGATTCAAAAGAATTTTCAAAAGAAAATTCAAAAAAGCAATGAAACCTACAGTATGACTTACCCAGACAGATAGATCCTCATAATGCCATAGAATATGGAAGGGTCTACATATTCTGAAATGGTGAACATTTATTTGCCACTTGAAGTATTAAAACCATTTGAATAGAAGTTGATTATTTTCACTTGAAAGTATTACCATGCATTAGTTTAAAGGCCTGTTTCATGCTGCCTATGGCCTGACTGACAACATCCAGAGCTTTGGTGACCATAGCAACATCATTATAATGGATGCCATTGATGACATCAAGGATAGACTGTGAAAAAAGAAACTGCTAGTATTACCACGGTACAGTAATGTAATCAGATGGTAATACCACACTGTAAAGTGATTTTCAAAGTAAATAAAACAAAAATTATTGGAGTTCAAGACAGTGCTATTTCAGTCTTTCTACTTCAAAATGTCATGTCTGATTCAATGTGTTACTTGCCGTTTCTTTGTAATTTGTGAAATTTACTAGCAATTTCAAAATGATTGTTTCGAAGTATTTTTTTTTTCAGTGTGTATTCACATTCCATGGTACACCATTCCATCTTGGCTATTATAGCTTCTGTAGCTCAGTGCTCTGTCTGTGAAGGGTGGCATTTGTAAAGGTGTCAGACCTTCAGGCCAGGAACAGCTGCCAGCTCCACCAGCAGTGTCACCAGAAAAAATCCTCTTACACTTTCCCCACCAGGCAATGTCAGCAACAACTCCAAGTTCCTTTCAGGAAGCAAGAACAGTCACCATGAATGACAGATGACCACAACTTACATCAACATGTGTTTGTTTGTTTGTTTTTTTACATGTTGTAATTGTGGTGTCTAATTCTTGACATAAATGTAATTATAAGGTCAGATGCTGCAAAGAGGATCTGAATTCACACAAAGCATATTTACATATTCACCTCTGAACATAATGAGATGGCTCCCTCTGCTGGTTTTAAAAATCAGTAACATTTAACACACATTTCTGTTAATTCTTCTAAATGCTTACTCCATGGAAAAAGGTCTAGGAACAGTCCACGTCTAGTTGTGCGTGAAAAAGAAATATACAAATCCAGGTTAGTTTGACAGACAGACAGACAGACAGATAGATAGATAGATAGATAGATAGATAGATAGATAAAATTATGAAAATGACAATTAAAACCAGATTAATCATTTCATTATAGAAAACTGTATGCAAAATATGTATTAAAATTGAAAATGAAATGAAATTGTTTCATTTTCACAGTGACAATGTCCCTGCCAAACTGAAAAATAAAATTGAGTTGGTGATTTGACATTTCATTTTATATCTACAATCTCGAAGCAAGACTGCCAATATTAAAATGAAAAGGCAAACATGAAAAAAAACCTGCAAAAACATTGCTTATTAAGATTTTTAGTAATGCTCATGCATATTAGTGAGTTTTCAGTTTATTTTATTTTTTATTTCACAGTTTTAATTTTCATTTTGGAAATCAACTTGTATGCAAATTCTGTGTTAATCAGTTGTTGAGACTGAGTTATGCTATTAATAGTTACTTGCATTTGAATGATTTTGTAGAGGAGCTTTATGGACGCACAAAAAAGAAAAAATCTAGCCAACTGCCTAAACTGAATTATACATGCAGACACTCAATCAAAAGGGTTCCACGAGTGATTTTTCACCAAACTGGACAAAACTTCTACCGAATCGTACAAAAAATGCCCTGACACAAGTAAACTAAATCTAGGCTATTACAGCTATTGCAAAAAAGTAAAAATGAAAATTAAAGGTGACATATCATGAAAATCTGACTTTTCCAGGTTTTAAGTGCTATAATCAGGTCCCCAGTGCATCTACCAACCAAGGGAACGTGAAAAAGATTAACCCAATAACTTTGTTTTGGTAAGCCTTTTTCTGCAAGCGTCTGAGAAAACGAGCATGTCTGATTTTGCTCCCTTGGTGACGTGGCAAAGGGATCTCATTATAATATTACCGCCCCTGATTTCACAAGCGACAACGGTGTATCAGTTATAACGCCATGGCGAAATTTTGAGCAAAATATGCTAACTGTTCTGTCTTTGGCTGCACAGACGAGCCCCAGTTTCAGAGGAGACAAGAGAGCAGGGGATTTATTGATTTATTTACTGTATATTGCTGCTGTCTTCCACACAGATCTAAAATTAACATGCAATTTATTTCCCAGGAGTTTACCTTCACAGACATAACCGACTGTTTTTGTAACTCGTGTGTGTTTTTAACGTAAACTTGTGTGTGAATGATGTGTGCTTCGGATGTGTGCTCTCAGAAAACGTCTCGGGTTACGTATGTAACCCTGGTTCCTCGAGGGAACAAGACGCTGCGTCGGAAATGCTAGGGGAACGCCCAAAAGTCTACTAAGGGAATCAGTCTCTCGAGACTGATCTCTGGTGTAATACGAGCAGCCAGCTCAATGCCCTGTAACGGCGAACCGGCAGGGAACAACCAAACCCGCTGCTCTAGAGACCTCTGCGGAGGTGGCGAGCCTCCTTAGACTTAAGTACGGTCCGCAGATCCGGCTTAGCCTTAGAGGCCCCCGACCTGGAGCGTCGCCTCGCCCCCGTGTCTCGACACGGGGGAGCACACGAGGCCACGCTCTGTTTTTGCACGTCCCTGTATGTGGAGCTGGTACCCGGAGGGGGCTGCCTGGAACACCCCAGAGACTTATATTACATATTGTAAAAAGGGGCATAATATGTCTCCTTTAAATTAAAAGCATTGAAAGCGGCATTGAATTTAGATCTGTACATGTTGCATAACTTGTCTTTGTGCGTGTTTTTAATGGCGTTGCACATTATAACCAATCACACATGATTCTGCTGAGCTTATGAATGCAATGGCCAATTAGAAGTGTTCAGATGAGTCATCACCGAAGCACCGATGCCCTTTGAAGTCTGTGTCCTTCAAAGGAGGAAGCCTCCGAATTGGCTGTGATGTGACTGGTTATTAAGGCACACATGATCCAATTTGACCATTAGGCCTAGGCTATCTCCAATAGTAAAAGCCACGGAGATGAAGATGAAGATCATTTAATAATAAAGGCTTGAATTTGGGTCTGTTCCTCACAATTGTATTTAAAGGTGGGGTCAGCGATTTCTGGTAGCCAATGTTGACATTTGAATTCACCAAAACAAACACGCCCCTACCCCAAAATGGTCTCGCCCCTATTTTGATAGCTCCGCCCCACACATACGTACGCAACCCAGGCAACGATTAGTTCTGTGAAACAAAGCAAAACCAATGTTACACCGTGTCTACACTGGACGCGAGTGGCGCAGCGCAAAAAAAAAAATACTATAGAACTCATTATAATTAGTGATGCTGTCTACACCATAGATATAGCCTATATACATATCTATAGTCTACACTGGATGTGGCGCGGCACGACACGACAAATCCGCAACAGAAAACTGCTGCTGCATTCTATTTATGACATACTGACACAAATTTCAAATGATTTTCAACGGTCGCTTTGTCCAGTGTACTAGACAGACTTTAGCTGTTGCGGCGCAGACACGGTGTTACTCACCTATCGAGAAGAAACAAAGCAACCTCGGCGTCCGATCGCAGGCCTTCCGCTCCTTGAGTTCTCTCCAGCACTGGAAAGCTGATCCAATATTTTACACGGGTCCTACTTCTTGCCTTCTTGCCTTAAGCCTTCTTTTGTTCCGTAGACGTTTTCCTCTTTTGTTTTTTTATCCGCAATCTCTATCTTTCTGTCGCTCGGCTAATGTCCGTCCAGTGCACTGAACGCTCTCTCCTCCACATCATGAGTAGACACGCCCCTTACTGCTGATTGGCTACAAGTTTGTTTTGCTATTCGGCCCGAATCAGTTTTCTAAAGCGTTTTTTTTAAAAATCGCTTACCCCACCTTTAATTGTTCCAGCGCACATTTAAACTTGAGTTTTATTGTATTTTATTTTACTATTCTTAGTCACAGCATGACTGAGAAAATGCCTTTGTATGCCTTTGTAACAAAATAAATATTACATGTTAAGTAATGCTTAATCGATTACAGAAATGTTATTCAATTTTAAGATGTTAAAGTGTAGTCTTGTTTAACATTATGTAATCATTCAAAATGAGTTGGCAGCAGAAATTACACAGAACAAAAGACACGGTGTTACTCACCTATCGAGAAGAAACAAAGCAACCTCGGCGTCCGATCGCAGGCCTTCCGCTCCTTGAGTTCTCTCCAGCACTGGAAAGCTGATCCAATATTTTACACGGGTCCTACTTCTTGCCTTATTGCCTTAAGCCTTCTTTTGTTCCGTAGACGTTTTCCTCTTTTGTTTTTTTATCCGCAATCTCTATCTTTCTGTCGCTCGGCTAATGTCCGTCCAGTGCACTGAACGCTCTCTCCTCCACATCATGAGTAGACACGCCCCTTACTGCTGATTGGCTACAAGTTTGTTTTGCTATTCGGCCCGAATCAGTTTTCTAAAGCGTTTTTTTGAAAAATCGCTTACCCCACCTTTAATTGTTCCAGCGCACATTTAAACGAGTTTTATTGTATTTTATTTTACTATTCTTAGTCACAGCATGACTGAGAAAATGCCTTTGTATGCCTTTGTAACAAAATAAATATTACATGTTAAGTAATGCTTAATCGATTACAGAAATGTTATTCAATTTTAAGATGTTAAAGTGTAGTCTTGTTTAACATTATGTAATCATTCAAAATGAGTTGGCAGCAGAAATTACACAGAACAAATCAAATGTTTTCACAATGCATTTGATATGACAACTGAATACGATATAATAAAAATGTTAAAGGGGGCATCGGATGCAAAATTCACTTTTACATGGTGTTTGCATATAAATGTATCTTAGCAGTGTGTGGACACAACCACCCTACAATGATATAAATCTGTTCACTCCTTTTATTTATCCCCCCAAAAACTAAACACTCTTAATTATCAAGTTGTTTTGATTTTCTGAGCAGTATGACATCACACTACTCAGGCCCCGTCCACAACAACTGACTGACTGTCCCGTATTAGCATATCTCCACCCTCAGACAGTTGTACACTGTCCGCCATTTTCTCAGCACTCCAGCAGCTGTAGTGACAACAATGTCTTGTAAGCAATGCAGGTGTTTTGTAATTGGATGTAAATGTGAACGTAAGAGTCTTAATTTTCTCCCAACATCAGAGCCACTGAGGATGCAGTGGATTCGTGTTGTTTTTGATGGTAACACGCCACCAAATACAGAAAAAAATAGAAGAGAGAGGTGGAGTGAGCAGGAGCTCATTATAATTTAAAGAGAGATGCACAGAAACAGGTCGCTGTGAACAGAGCTGTTTTTGACAAGGTAAAAAGGTGTTGTTTTACACAACCATTGAGGAATTTTAACCAAAGAATGTTGCAGACATTTCATGAAGACCCTGAAGAATCATACCAGCTTGTGGAAAATGGTCATCCGATGTCTGCTTTAATGCCCTTATTTTAATATTCATAAAGTTGTTCATATGAAAATTTGCATTTTAGATGTCAGTATGTCAATGTTGTATGTTAGGTATTGTATTCATTCTAATGTAAACATAAGGGTCACCCCCGGGTGCTTTACGACTACTGTCATCTTATCTGAGCGCAAAACACTGCTTGGGAGAGTTTCAAGATACTAAAAATAATAAATACATAAAATGATATACACTTGTTTATGTGTTTATTCTTGTTGGCAGTATTTTAATAGTATCTAATGATTATCAACAAATTAAGCATTAGAAAAAAAAAAACACTTTCCCCACTGCTAACAGAATTTTCCAGCTTTCCGCGTTTCAAGAAGAGAAGAGGCGTGACGTGTGGCCAAGTATGATAACCCATACTCATAATTTGTGCTCTGTAGATGGGGGTTTGGTGCCTTGCTCAAGGGTCTCACCTCAGTCGTGGTATTGAGGGTGGAAGTGAGTGCTGGTTATTCCACCGACAATTCCTGCCAGACCTGAGACTTGAAACCACAACCTTTGGTTACAAGTCCGACTCTCTAACCATTAGGCCA